TTAATTACAGAAATAGAAGCAAACGAAGCATTATAAATCAAAATTCACTGCCTTAACCCATTACCATTATTGCAACCAAAAAGGGATAAATGTTTGGTCTAATTCTTTCTTATCCTACTTCCCATAATTGCAGTCCATTTTAAGGCCACAGTTTAAGTTATCCCAATAACAGTGTAAGATTGTGACTACAAAAAGTATTCATACCTTAAACTTGTCCATTCTTCCTTATGAGAAAAAGAATAGCTCTCATACACAAAGTTACAGCTAGAAAACTTATATATATATATATATATAATATATATATATATATATAATATATATATTATATATATAGAGAGAGAGAGAGAGAGAGAGAGAGAGAGAAGGAAGGTATATCAAGAATTAAACAGACCAGCACAAAGTTAAAGTTCACTTAATAACAATTGTGTCTCAATTTAATTGAATTGACACTGTGAATTTTCACAGAAATATAATATCTCTTCATTTATACTCTTACAAAGTTAAACATGAAATGGAGAACAGCTAAATAGAAATGACTACTCAAGATCAATAAAAGCAGCCAATAAAAGAAACAATATGTAGATAGCTTAGTACCACTAATAAAATTCTTAAAAGACAAGAAAATCAAATCTTTCATAAAAGCCTAATCTTTCTATGCACATAGATCAGCCCTTATGAAAAAACACACATACAGGACACTTCTTCAAACATACCCCTCAGCACTCGTTTGAAAACTCAGAACGAAACAACCAGAAAACAAAATTAAAAAGGATAATGTAGTTTAAGTCTGTAAGATCGCAATATAAGCAAATCAAAACGGGTAGTAGCCAAAAACAAATATACACATACAGAGATTTAATGAAAGGGAGATTGTGTACCAGCACCTTACTTGGTATCAAAATCTATCTGATATATTTTCTTATAGGCTAAAGAATCTAAAGGCTAAAAAGAGGGGAAAATATAGAAAAAATAAAATATCTCTTTCTTCTGCAATTTCCGACGTTTAACCAAATCAAAAGGCATTCCGTCCAATCAATAATTAACCTACCTTAATTTTTTCTCCTCCTTTTTTTGTACTTCATATTTTATTAAAATAGTTAGAAAGCACAAGACTTTGATGAATGACTTACTACTCAATTGCTTTTATTAGCCATAGTAATTATCACATCTTCTTTAGGTAAAAAAGTTCTACCCTAAAAATCCAAAGTGAAAAGTGGGACAAAAGAGAGCCTAAATTATTGATACCCTTTAACAAGTAGCAACTATCGATTTTTACATTGAGTAGATGAAAAATCGGATCTGAAATTGGAACTACCAAAGTAGATGAAAGAAATTAATAAATTTAGTTCTTGGGGGAAAAAAGTAGGAGACATTCAGATCTGAAACTAGAACATTCAAAGTAGATGAAAAAAAACTGATCACAATAATTCTTGATAGAAGTTTGAATGAACAATAATGGAACCTACAAAAAATTTCAGCATGAAATTCGAAATTTTGAAAAGAGATAGGAAAGAAGATGAGGAAATAATTTACCAAGCGAGATGAATCAAAGTAAAGGAGATGAAGTGACTTATAGATGTCTAAGGAGATGAAAGTGACTGAGCAGAGTAGATGAAAATGACTGGAAAAGTATAGGGTGTTAGGTTTTTTTTTGATGGATGCAAGGTTTTGTACGGAAAAAGTCTAGATAGTGTAGATAAAATAATATTTTTTTTTAAAACAATTAGATGAGAGGTTTAATGACAAATTTACCCTTGGTCGATCAACTTCTCATTTCTATATAGTAGAAAACTAGTCATATAGAAGAATCTAGTAACACTTATACCTTGGAATTAGATGAGCGGATCGTTGACAGTTTGTACAATAAATTGTCCTCCGAGAGAAAGATCTCGTGAACAATTGCTTACAGCCAGAACAAGCTAACACACAAAATCATTGGTTCTCATTTGGTAGACAAAGTTCAGCTGTGACATAAAATACTTGTCCCTATATAATTCAAGAATGCCACATTTTTTTTTGTGACTACAAAAAAAATAATAATTTTTGATAGAATAATATAAATTTATCTTGTTCTTACTTGAGGTTGCGCTTGGATATTGGAAATAGCTATGATTTCATCCTCAAAAGGAACCACCATGACAGAGCCTGTGGAAGATGTACTCTTTATCTTGTATGCATTAAGCATTGGTTCAATTGTTTTGGCCCTACAAGGTAGATAAAATCTAAAAAAATTGTTCTTGTATATATTAATGCATTATATCAACAATATGGTTCTACAGATGCGTAATTCACAAAGAAATACATGCATAATACCATGACTTCAACTCAACAGCTTGTGGGTAAGGAGGATTGAAATAGATTGTTGTACTAAATTTGTTTGACAGCCCACTGAATTTGTTCGATGATCCTACATGCATTCAAATATTAAGATTTGATTTCATTGTTTGATATTTGAAAAGGAAAAAGGTAAAATCATGTAAGTACTAATACTTGATGATGATCTACCAATTTTTCTAGCAAGATTAACTGGGAATTCATTCAGTTGTTTCAAAAGTTTATTCCCATAAAGTTCAATGAAATCTTCCTAGAGTGTGAATTTTGTTGTTTTTTTCCTGTAAACAATGAATAGAAGATGTTCAAATACTATATTGAAGTCACATGAAGAAAATACAATATTTGCTACCAGGCTCTCCCGTGGGAACTTGTAAAATGATTCACAAGACCAAACTTGAAGCATATAGAAGAAATATGAAATGAGCATAAGATGACAACAATTCATAATATTGATGATTTATATCCTGATATAATTCATCATTACTTTCAGGCAACATACTCTTGTAGCAAGGAAGTCAAGTAAACGTAACAAAAAGTAATAGCTAAATGTGAACTTGGACGGTAAAATAAACCTCAAATGTAAGACATTATTTATTTACAAATAATGTAAATTCAAAAGATACAAAAACTGAAAAAGTAAAATACTTGCCACATAAATGAATTCTCCCAAATATTTAAGTTGCAAAAACAAAAGAAGTCAAGTTCTTAGGGAAACAAAGAACAAAATATTTTACTTTGCAATCACATAAATCAAGCATCCAAGTTACATTACATATACTTTAAGCTTAGGAGGTTAATATGAAATTGTGAACAATAAATTATATCTAGCTTAGACCAAAAAAGGATGCCCACATATTTCAATAAAAGGAAGCCATGTTTCCCTAACAAAAATTTTGGCACTATAAAAATATAAAATGAAAGTTACACCTTTAATCTGGTTAAAGTAATGCACGAAGTTACAACCTAATGGCTAAAATGTTCTTTTTCACACATTGCATTTTCAAGAATCCTAATAAAGCCACTATCCTGAGTTTTAGCCTGAAGTTTTAGTTTCTATGTGTGCTTGATTTAACAAGAAGTTTTAGTTTCTATGTGTGCTTGATTTAACAAGAACCATATTGGTCTAGTTATTCCAAAGCCGTAGAAACATACAATCTTTTTTCGCCACAAAAAGAGAAAACCAGTAGCTACAGCCAAAAAATAAGAGGTGGTTGAAGAGGAGGAGGAAGAGGTGAAGGAAGATAAGGAACAACAAAAGAAACGGAGGAAAGGAATAGGAGGAGGTATATCCTTACTGCTTATCCATAATGATAAATTCTTGAATTCTTCTTCCATTTGCAGCATATGTTGAAGGGCCGCCATTAATCACAATAGCAAGGACATCTTGCGTTAAACCAAAAAAAAACAAATGTTAATATATTATGAAAATCATTGTGTCATAATACTAAAAAGTTTTTTGAGAAGATATAATAAATGGATTGTATATGCACAAATATAGATAATTAAATCTTTAAATACCAAATTCAGATTCTTTAGGTTGATACTCGAAAGTGTCAAATGCCGTGATAGTTAGGCGTGTTGGCGAAGGTAATGGATCCTCAGGAGGAGTGACCTTTTCAATTGGCTCATCAATGGTACTTCTATAGATTGTCCAAGTGAATTTGTTGAGCGGAATTCAATATAAATAAGATGACTCCTTCAGCTGTGCAACCGACACCAAGTAAGTGCGGAAAGGATTAAATAGATCTTCAAAATGCGTTATATCAGCATTGAACATGATGGCCTGAACTTGATTTTCCTGTAAGAAAATAAGATACAATTAGATTTTAATCATATTCAAATAAATTGGGAAAAATTACACCAGCAAAATATATCAAATTTTAATATGAGCAATCTCTAGTATATGAGCAAAAAATGGACTAATTCAATTATTGTTGGCAAATTTGTGAATTTAAAAAAGAATACCTCTTCATCCTGTAGAGTCATGAGTTGATATTTTTTGGTTTTCTCTTTGTTGTCTTTGGGACGACCTTTATCAATTACTTGGATCTTACAAGTCCATTCTTCTGTATTGGGAGTGATCATGTTGATAGTTAACCTTTCACCCATAGTGGAATTAACCTGTAATTACAATATATTGATATTAGTATAACAGTATACATTAACAATAAAAATAGACATAGTTTAATATAAATGAAAGAATATAGAACAAAATCAAGTTATAATTAGATTTACCATAAGAAATTATAGCATATGGTCAGGAAAAAGCTTTTTTAATAATTTCATCATAGACTATATTGTATGTAGAGTGATCATCATCATCGTCAGCTGTAGGTGGTTTAGTTAATACTTTCACACAATTAGAACTTTTGGCTCTTGATAAAGCAACATACAATTGACCATGAGAAAAGACAGGTTCGCGCAAATAGATACCCACAAAATCTAATGTTTGACCTTGAGCTTTGTTTATTGTCATGGAGAAACATAATCGAACTGAAAATTGTGTTCGTTTAAAAGGGAGAGGTAATTTCTCATCTTCTGATGTCATGAGTGGCATTCGCGGAATAAATACATGTGTATTTTTAAAATCGCCGCTAGATATTGTTGCACTAATGACATGAGTTTTAAAATCATTACATATTAATCGTGTTCCATTGCATAAACCTTCACTGGGATTCATATTTCTTAATAACATAATCGGCCAATTTTTTTTTCAAAGATAATTTGTAAGGAGGCAAGCCAGCAGGACTTAAAGTGTGCAAAAAATCTTCATACTCACTCTGATCTTTTGGATCAATTGTCTCATCAGTAGCAATGTAAACTTTTTCGGTGGTTGGAAATTGAGCAAGAAGCATGTCATTTATTTCATCAACGAAATCATTTTTGGTTGTTAGAATAGCACGAGAAGTAATAAAAGAAACATTTGAATGACATTTGTATAAATCAGGATATGTAACTCGGAAGAGCATATTCAATGATTCTTTTTCAGAAGTAAAAGGAATAATGAGAGAATGAGGCATTTGAATTTTTTCATAGGCATTTTGTCTTCCTTTTCCATCACCAATTCTCATTAAATATTCACAAAAAGCAGAATCCGTTTTCGCACGCATATTCTCTGATAGTTGTAATTTTTCAAGTTGATTCCAAATTTCAGAGCACAGTAAACTTTCACGAATAAAATCTTCCTTTTTTCCACTACGAACTATGGGAAGAGTTTGTCTAAAATCACCACTGAAGACAACTACCTTTTCACCAAATATTATATTAGTTTCTATGAGATCTCTTAAAAGCAAATCGAATGCTTCTACCATTTCCATTTTTGCCATTGAAATTTCATCCCATACAATTAGTTTTGCATCTCGTATTAAAGATGCTAATGAACTTTGCTTACTAATATTGCAGCTGAAATTCTCATTAACATCAATAGGAATTTTAAAGCGCGAATGAGCAGTTCGACCTCCAGGAAGTAGTGAAGCTGCAACACCGGAACTTGTAGTTGCTAAAGCTATAAATCCCTTGTGCCTCACAGTAGCTAATAAAGCACGATATAAAAAGCTTTTACCAGTTCTACCGGGGCCATCAATAAAGAATGCCCCTGGTCTATTTGAAAATATTCTGTCAAGAATCATATCGTAAGCTCTTCTTTGATCAATGTTTAATTTGTTTTCTAACATTAAATCTTCTTCGCTAACAACGATATTTCTTTCGAAATGAACATCTTTAGCTTCTTTTGCAGCTGCGGATGGCTTTATGTCACGACCCTAACCTGGTCGTGATGGCGCCCAACACAGTGCTAGGCAAGCCCGACCAATTCAACACTCTCAATCCCTCATATAGAGTTCATTACCAATTAATAGGGTTTAAAAACCAAAATTAACATGATTATAAATCTGTAACAAAAGATAAAAGTGTGCGGAAATTAAGAAAATATCACTACAAATCCCACCGATCTGGTGTCACGAGTCAAGAGCCTCTAATACAAGTCTGGGGAACAGCCTAAACAAAAGATAGTCTAAAATGCTGAAAGTAAAGAGGATAGAGGGAGAAATCGGGTCTGCGAACGCCATGCAGCTACCTCGATGACTCCGGTGAGATCTGAATAGCAGAAATGGCTCAATCTACGCCTCCGGAATACCTGTATCTGCACACATGGTGCAGGGAGTAAAGTGAGTACTCCGACTCAGTGAGTAATAGCAATAAATAATGACTGACGGAAAGAAATCTCGTAAAAACACTAAGCAGTTCTATATCAAAGCAGTAAGAACATTTAAATGGCAACTAAATGAAGAAGTCAGGTAAAAATCCTTTAAGCCAGTGCTCAACTCATTTACTCCTCACGATAACCGAAATCATAATTATACCACTGTGGCGTGCAGCCCCACCCATATAGTATACTGCTGCGGCGTGCAGCCCGATCCATATATGTATATATATACACTACTGCGACGTGCAGCCCGATCCAATGATAATAGTCGACTGCGCTCACTGGGGTTGTGCGGACTCCGAAGGGGCTCCTACAGCCCAAGCGCTATACTACTGCGGCGTGCAGTCCGATCCATATGAATGTGCTGTTGTGGCGCGCAGCCCGATCCAATAATATACTGCTACGGCACGCAGCCCGATCCATATAAATATATACTGCTGCGGCGTGCCGCCCGATGCATAACATATCAAATACCCTCACTATGGGGTTCTCAACCCCTCTCAGTCACTATAAACTTAGCCTCTCGGGCATACTAAGATAAGATAGGGATCCCAGCCCACATATTACTCTCCTTTTGGTCTAGTTATTCCAAAGCCGGTTCATATTAGATTAAACAATTAGAAACATGACTGAGGGTATGATTTTTAACGAGTAAAGTGAGGTCAATCATGTACAATTACCCCTAAGGGTTCTACAGGTCGGCACAAGGCCCTAAACATGGCAACTAGCCCAAACTATAATGATATAATTTAAGTCTCAGTCAAAAAACAGTAGAATCATCAATCGGGATGGACCAGGTCCAAATCCCCAACAGTAATGGACCCCACGCTCATCTTGCAGCGTGTGTCTCACCTCAACATAGCACTACGTTGTGCAAATCCGGGGTTTCAAACCCTCAGGACATCATTCATAACCATTACTCACCTCAAGCCGGCCAAAAATCCTAGCTCGCTATGCCCTTGCCTCACAAATCAACCTCCTCGCACGTCGAATCTGGCCAAAACCACAACGAATACGTTACAATAGGCTAAGGGAATATAACCCAATCGAAAAGACTCGAAAAATATCGAAATTCACGAAGTTGGCAAAACCAGAGCCCCGGGCCCACTTCTCGAAAAATCAGAAAATTAACATTACCGGATTCCTTATCTCGCCACGAGTCTGTCCATATCAAATTTACCAAAATCGGAGTCCATTTGACCCCTCAAATTCCATTTTGAAATACCAAATTCCCAAGCCCTAGCTCTTCCATTTTTGGTTAAATTCCCATGAATTTCTAGGTTAATTTCACAATAATACCCCGTTTTTAGTTCATAAAACTTACCTCCAACCAATCCTCTTCGAATCCCTCTTCAATTTCTCCCAAAGAGCTCTCAAAATGTTCAACAATGGAGGAAAAATGACTTAGGCTCGCGGATGAAATATTTTAAAACCCTTCTGCCCAGGTGACCTTTTCCTCTATGCGAACGCGAGGGTTATCTCGCGTTCGCGAAGCTCCAATTTTTCCATCTGCCGAAAATGCCCTATGCGGACGCGACCCATGCCACGCGAACGCAAGCTTCCTCAAAAGGCACCTACGCGAACGCGACTTCATGCATGCGAACGCGAAGGCAAAAGAACCCCTAAGCCTCAATTCCTTATACGCGTTCGCGGCTAGTGCCTCGCGAACGCGGTGCACACACAGCTACCCCTCCGCGAACGCGGACTCACATATCGCGAACGCGAAGAGTAATTCACCTGCCTCCCAAGATCCTTCTTCGCGAACGCGTGACCTTTACGCGAACGCGAAGGGTTAATTCTCTACAACACATAGTTGGAAAAACCTGCAATCCTCAAAGGCCAAAATTGGTCCGATTGACCATCCGAAATCACCCCGAGGCCCCTGGGACCTCAACCAAATGCACCAACACATCCTAAAACATCATTCAAACTTGTTCCAATCATCAAAACACATCTAACAACGCTAAAATCATCAATTCTCACCGGATTCAAGCCTAAGTTTCTCAAAAACTTTCGAAACACGCATTTGATCAAAAACGCAACCAAAACACCTCCGAATGACCTGAAATTTTGCACACACATCCAAAATCACCTAGCGAAGCTACAGCAACTCTCGGAATTCCATTCTGACCCTCGGATCAAAATCTCACCCATCAACCGGAATTCGCCAAAATACTAACTTCGCCAATTCAAGCCTAATTCTACACCGGACCTCCAAAATCAATTCCGATCACACTCCTAAGTTGCAAATCATCCCGCGAAGCTGACCAAATCACCGAAAATCCCATCCGAGCCCTCTAACTCACAAGTCAACATCCGGTTGACTTTTTGAATACAAACCTTCCTTAAAGAGACTATGTGTCTCATTTCCATCCAAAACCAATCCAAATCGACTCGTTCACTCAAGACTCTTATAATAAAACATGAGGAAGCAGAAAATGGGGGAAACGGGGCGGTAACTCACGTGACGACGGGCCGGGTCGTCACATCCTCCCCAACTAAAACAAACGCTCGCCTCGAGCGAGTCAAGAAACATACCTGAAGTCTCAAACAGGTGAGGATATCTACTCCGCATCTCCCGCTCGGTCTCTCAAGTAGCCTCCTCCATGGGTCGACCTCTCCACTGCACCTTCACCGAAGCTATATCCTTTGATCTCAACTTTCGAACCTGACGACCCAAAATAGCCACTGGCTCCACATCATAGGTCAAATAATCATCCAACTGAACAGTGCTGAAATCCAATACATGAGACGGGTCCCCAACATACTTCCGGAGCATAGAAACGTGAAATACCGGATGCACGCCTGACAAGCTGGGTGGCATAGCAAGCTCATAAGCCACCTCCCCAATCCTCCTAAGTACCTCAAAAGGCCCATTAAACCGCGGACTCAGCTTCCCTTTCTTCCCAAACCGCATAACACCCTTCATGGGTGGAACCTTCAGCAAGACCTTCTCACCAACCATATAAGACACATCTCGAACCTTCCGATCCGCATAACTCTTCTGACGCGATTGTGCTGTACGAAGCCTCTCCTGAATCAGCTTCACCTTCTCTAAGGCATCCTGAACCATCTCTGTCCCCAATAGCCTAGCCTCACTAGGCTCGAACCAACCAACAGGAGACCTACACCGCCTCCCATACAACGCCTCATACGGAGCCATTTGAATACTCGATTGATAACAGTTGTTGTAGGCAAACTCTGCAAGCGGCAAAAACGCATCCCAAGAACCTCCAAAATCAATAACACAGGCACGCAACATATCCTCCAATATCTGAATAGTACGCTCGGACTGCCCGTCCGTCTGAGGATGAAACGTTGTGCTCAACTCCACCTGTGTACCCAACTCCCGCTGAAAGGTCCTCCAGAACTGAGAAGTGAACTCAGTACCCCTATATGAGATAATAGACACTGGAACTCCATGCAATCGGACAATCTCCCAGATAAAGATCCCTGCCAGCCGCTCCGAAGAATAAGTAGTACATACTGGAATGAAGTGCGCGGACTTGGTCAGCCGATCCATAATCATCCAAATCGAATCGAACTTCTTCAAAGTCCGAGGGAGACCACTCACAAAATCCATAGTAATCCTCTCCCACTTCCACTCTGGAATAATCATCCGCTGAAGCACACCGCCCGACCTTTGATGCTCGCACTTTATCTGCTGACAGTTGAGACACCGAGCCACAAACCCTACAATATCCTTCTTCATCCTCCTCCACCAATAATGCTGCCTCAAATCCTGATACATCTTCGCGGCACCCAGATGAATGGAATACCGCGAGCTGTGGGCCACCTCCAATATCAACTCCCGAAGCCCATCCACATTGGGCACACAAATCTGGCCCTGCATCATCAACACGCCATCATCATCAATGGTCACATCCCTGGCATCATCATGCTGAACCCTGTCCTTAAGGACAAGCAAATGAGGATCATCATACTGGCGCTCTCTGATGCGATCATACAAGGAAGACCGAGAAACCACACAAGCCAAAACCCGACTAGGCTCCGAAATATCTAATCTCACCATCTGATTGGCAAAATCTTGAACGTCAACTGCAAAGGGTCTCTCCCCAACTGGAATGTACGCCAAACTCCCCATACTAACCGCCTTTCGGCTCAAAGCATCGGCCACTACATTGGCCTTCCCCGGGTGATACAGAATGGTAATATCATAATCCTTGAGTAACTCTAGCCACCTCCGCTGCCTCAAATTAAGATCCTTTTGCTTGAATAGATGCTGAAGACTGCGATGATCAGTGAATACCTCGCAAGATACGCCATACAAGTAGTGCCTCCAAATCTTCAAAGCATGAACTATAGCAGCCAACTCCAAGTCATGTACAGGGTAGTTCTTCTCGTGGGGCTTCAACTGGCGAGAAGCATATGCAATAACTCTACCCTCCTGCATCAATACACATC